CTTTCATGCCTAAGGCAGGACTAGAACTCCCAGTCTCCTCGTGATTTGCCCAGTCACCCAACTGGCTTTCATGCCTAAGATGGGACCAGAACTTCCAGTCTTCTGGTCATTGCCCCAAAGTCATCCAGCTGGCTTTCATGCCTATGACAGAACTAGAACTCGCCATCTCCTGGTGATTGGCCCTCAGCCAGCTTTTATGCCTAAGGCGGAATTAGAATTCACAGACTCCCGCTTTCTAGCCTAGCGGCTTCACCACTAGGCCAAACTGTCTCTCTGAATGTTGGAAGTAGTCTTCACCGGGCCTTCATCTGGCATCTTTCTCCCAGGTGCTCCTCGGTTTACATTTGGCTTCTAGACTCAAAAACGCCCAACTCATGCCCGTAAACTTGGAGGCGAGTTTGTCCCTGCTAGCAAAAAGGACCCCCAGAGAAACCAAACTTATCAGAACTGGTTGGGCTCCCACGGTGAGAACGCAGCTCTGATTTAATTAGAAGACGAGGCGGAATGAGGGCTCCGCGAAACAGTAAGAGGCTGGCAGCTTTTTTTTTTCTTCTCCTAATGAACCCAAAATGTGTGTGAAACGGAGCAGAAAATGAGATTTTATGGCCACGCGCATCCCTCCCATTTGCAGGTTGCACCCAGGAAAGTTGGAGGGAGGAGAGGAATAGAGAGAGAAAGAAAATCAATCGCCGGTTATGAGCCTGGATAGTTATGCACCAGGAAAGGGGGCCCACCAACATCCTTGTTAACTCAAGCCAGGAATTTTCTAAAAACCCACCAAGAACAGCCTAGAGACCGTCCAACAACCAGACTGCTTCCCTTGAGTTAAATCCTGGCTTGGGCCAATAGTAGTTTGTAAGTAGTTTGCATTGACACCTTAGACTTGGGGTTTTATGGGCCCCAAACCCACAGGAGACTGGAAATCTGAAATTAACTATAAATAAATGTAAATAAGTGTACGAGGGATCACTCAGGGGCTCTCTGAGGTTTGTGGTTTTCTTGCAGACCCAACTGGAGAACATCATCAATACTAGAAGGAAGTGAGGTTTGTGGAAAAGAGGAGGAGGAGGAGGAGGAGGAGGAGGAGGAGGAGGAGGAGGAGGAGGAGGAGGAGGAGGAGGAAAACTGTGGGGTCCTTGGTGCTTTCTGAACTTGGTTGTTTTCTTGCAGACATTTCATGACCCAACTGGGGAACATCATCAAGTGCTAGAAGGGAGTGAGGTTTGTGAAAAAAAGGAGGAAGAGGAGGAGGAGCGGGAGGGGGAGGAAGAGGGGGCCGCAGCAGCCAATTTGGTTACTCAATGGAAACTATCTAAACCAACAATGGCTCAGGACCGAGCCAATTGGCCCTGGATTTTCTGCTCAGATTCTCCAAGGATTGAGATTCGCAATCCCGCGTCTTCTAGGCTAAGGAATGATAGATCAAACAAAGAGGCTTAAACAGGGCCTGTTTTCCTGTCTCCCTCGCGACATGCCGAACCCACCTGCGATGCTGGCTAGGATCTCGCTGATTCCGATCAGGATATACTGAGGGACCTGCCACCAGACGGACATGTCGGCCGCGTGGTAGATGGCCGTCCCAATCTTCTGATCGATCGTCTTGGTCTTCACCCTCCTCAGCCGGTCGCTTTCCAATATTCCTAGGAAGGGAAAAATGCACGGGAAATGACTCGCAACCGTTCACACCCCATCGGATTGTTCCACCTGCGTGTTTCCGCCACGTTGTTTCCTGACCTCGCACACGCGCCTGCAAATCATTGCGCTTTTGATCGCAACGTTTGCAACCTACCCACGGTGCTTGCCCTGACGGGTCACCCTGTTTAGGATCAAGCGTGCAAGTATCCTCTGAACCATCCGAAAGAGAATTACGAGGGGTTTAGCGTCCTGTAATAGGGACCCCGCCCCCCAAAAAGAGTGGTGTGGTGGCCTAGAGGTGGAGCTCTATATAGATAATATAGATGATAGATAGATAGATAGAGAGATAGAGAGATAGATAGATAGATAGATAGATAATATAGATGATAGATAGATAGATAGATAGATAGATAGAGAGAGAGAGAGAGAGAGAGAGAGATAGATAGATAGATATACATAGATAATATAGATGATAGATAGATAGATAATATAGATGATAGATAGATAGATAATATAGATGATAGATAGATAGATGATAGATAGATAGATAGATAGATAGATAGATAGATAGATAGATAGATAAGAGATAGATGGATGGATGTGTGGATGATAGATAAGATAAATAGGCTAGTTTGATCCCAGGTAGAGGCAGATATTTCTCTCTCTGGGCACGATGAGAATCTATCTGCTGAATATAACTCTGCACTGGCAACAGGGAGGGCATCCGGCCAGTAAAATTGCAATTGGTGGATTGCAGTGGTGAAGATTTCAGGATCACTGGAAATTTTGTTTTGGTTGAAACAAAGTGTTCTCCAATGGCAGGTCACTCCCATTTAGTGACGGCCTTGTTTTGCAACCGTACAAAGTTACAACCGTGAGGGAAAAAGTCATTTTACAAATAGTAAAAGATGTACGGATGACCTTCACGGGTCTGTAAAGCAAAGGAAAGCTCTACGTGTGGCCTCAGTTTCACTTATCGACCGCTTCGCTTAATGCCCCATTTGCCAGCCGTTATATGAGAACAAATCTAATAGCTAAAGTCATTCATTGGAGCAACCCTAGAAATCCAATGGCAAAAGTCTGGTTTCTGAGTGGAGATGTAGATCATGACACCATATTGATGGCCTGTAGGATCCAGTGGCGGCACTCCATAACCCAAAATCCTGTGCCTCACCTGCAGCGAACGCAGAACACATGACGAAGAACATCCCAAAGGCGATTCTCTTCAGCGAGGAAGGAAGGAGCCCCTTCTTCTTCAACATGGGGTCCACCACTTTGTCTTTCAGGGGGATGAGGATGAGGATGAGGACAGCATCAAACATGGTCAGCCAAGCTGCAGGAAACTATAAAATATATAAAAAATATATATGCTGAGACTCTAGAAAGAGTGCAGAGAAGAGCAACCAGGATGATTGGGGGACTGGAGGCTGAAACATACGATGAACAGTTGCAAGAACTGGGCCGGGCTAGTCTAGGGAAGAGAAGGACCAGGGCAGACAGGAGAGCAGTGTTCCAGTATTTGAGGGGCTGCCACAGAGAGGAGGAAGGGGGTCAACCTGTTTTCCAAGGCCCCCGAAGGCCAGACGAGGAATAACGGATGGAAACTGAACAAGGAGAGATTCAACCTAGAAATAAGGAGGAACTTTCTGACATTGAGAACAATCAACCCATAGAACCAAAGATGCCTTTGGAAGTTGTGGGCGCTTCATCCCTGGAGCCTTACAAGAAGAGATTAGACTGCCATTTGTCAGAAATGGTGTAGGGTCTCCTGCTTGGGCAGGGGGTTGAACTAGATGACCTACAAGGTCCCTTCCAACTCTGTTAATCTGAATCTATCTAAGATGATCAAAGGCCTGGAGACTAAAACATACAGTTGCAGGAACTGGGCATGGCTGGTCTAGGGAAGAAAAGGACCAGGGGAGACATGATAGCGGTCTTCCAATATTTGAGGGGCTGCCATAGGGAGGAAGGGATCAAGCTATTTTCCAAAGCACCCAAAGGCCAGACAAGGAATAACGGATGGAAACTGAACAAGGAAAGATTCAACCTGGAGAGGAGGAGGAATTTTCTGACAGTGAGAACAATCAACCAAAGGAACAGAAGTTGCCTTCGGAAGTTGTGGGAGCTTCATCACTGGAGGCTTTCAAGAAGAGACTGGACTGCCATCTGTCAGAAATGGTGTAGGGTCACCTGCTTGGGCAAGTGGGTGGGACTAGATGACGTATAAAGTCCCTTCCCACTCTGTTAACCTGTTAAGAACTGGGGTAGGGAAATAGCGGTGAAGGCAGCAACCCCAACTCAGCCTTCTAGTCCTCACCACGGGAACTCTGTTCTGTGCAGATAGCCACCATGTTGCTTGGTGAAGAACCTCAACCCCATGTCAGCAATGATTAATGTGTGTGAGAGCGCAGAACCTACTGTAGCAATAGCAATTAAACTTACATACTGCTTCACAGCGCTTTCCAGCCTTCTGTCAGCGGTTGACAGAGTCAGCCTCTTGCCCCCAACAATCTTAGTCTTCATTTTACCCACCTCGGAAGGATGGAAGGCTGAGTCAAAACCTTGAGCCTGGTGAGATTCGAACTGTTGGCAGTGGGCAAAATTAGCCTGCAATACTGCATTCTAACCACTGTGCAACATGGAAGGGAAGGGAAGAGAAAGAAGGGAAAGGGAAGGAAGGAAGGAAAGAAGGAAGGAAGGAAGGAAGGAAGGAAGGAAGGAAGGAAGGAAGGAAGGAAGGAAGGAAGGAAGGAAGGAAGGAAGGAAGGAAGGAAGGGCAATAGCACTTAGACTTATAGACCGCTTCACAGTGCTTTACAGTTTTCTCTAAGTGGTTTACAGAGTCAGCATATTGTCTCCAACAATCTGGGTCCTCATTTTACCCACCTCGGAAGGATGGAAGGCTGAGTCAACCTTGAGCCTGGTGAGATTCGAACTGCCAAATTGCAGTCAGCCAGTAATCAGCAGAAGTAGCCTGCAGTACTGCACTCTAACCACTGTGCACCGCAGCTCTATTTACAGAATAATAGAATAGCAGACTTGGAAGGAACCTTGGAGGTCTTCTAGTCCAACCCCCAGCACAGGCAGGAAACATGAAATGGCATTTCAGACAAATGGCTGTCCAATCCCTTCTTAAAAAACCTCCCGTGTTGGAGCACCCACAACTTCTGCAGGCAAGTTGTTCTACTTTGCATTTACCCCTATGGCTTTCTGGCTTTGGAGAACATCTGCTAAATCTTTGGCACCGGCCAGCCAACTTCCCAGAAGTGAAAAACAAAATCCTGTCGGCAGAGAAATTAAAATCCCTCCTCCCTTTCTGACACACAGAAACAACTCATTAAGGATCTGTCTTCATCAACCCACAAGCAGTGAAAGAGTGAGATTTTCAGGAGGGATCAGAGGTTAAACCATCAGCACACAGGATCTGCACAGCAAGAAATCATCCCTAAAATCATTATTTACACAAACACCGAGCCCTCCGTCCTCTCTCTGTGCTTTCAGACCTTCTGCGGATGGCCCGCTCTTCATTAAAATTTCCACCTTGCAAGATTTTGACCCGGGTCAAACCAAGATACCCTTAGCCGCTTGCAGAAAGTGACTCCCTCCTCTGTAATCACCGGAAAAGTTCAAGAGGCGAAGGGTGAAAAGTCTCAATTAAACGGGGGAAAGTCTCGCCAGGATCTCTGATGGGTTCACACACACACACACACACACCCAAAAAACCCCATGATGACTCGAACGATGAAATATTCATGCTGGATAAAACGCACCAGGAATGTTGAAATGGCCAAGACAGGAGTATGGAGAATTTTTCTGACAGGGAGAACAATCAACCCCTGGAACAGAAGTTGCCTTCAGAAGTTATGGCAGCTTCATCATTGGAGGCTTTCAAGAAGAGACTGGACTGCCATTGGTCAGAAATGGTGTAGGGTCTCCTGCTTGGGCAGGGGGTTGGACTAGATGACCTACAAGGTCCCTTCCAACTCTGTTAATCTCTGTGATGACCCAAAGGGGCGTGGCACAAAAGCAACAAAGTCACAAAAGTAGGTAAAGTCCCTTTAATTCCTCCAACTTGGCCCCCAATGTCCAGTTATCCTCAGCTGGAGAAAAAACTCTCCCAGGAACAGTTTTTAAAGGGAAGAAATTCCATCCGAACCCGGAGTACATATAGATTATAAATAAAAACCAACACAAACCACAGCTGCAGCAATTAACAAGGCAGGGCAGGATGAGGAATTGCAGACTTCAAAAGATAACGAAATGCATACAGTTGGGAGGACTCCGCAACCCAGGTAAGACTTGACAAAGATAATTCACACTTTGCTTCCAGCATGGTGCTGTGCGCAAACGCCCTTTTAAAATCCTGTTTTCCCAGCCGTAACTAATGAAAGGGATCAGGGCCCTTTTCTCTCCCATAAGCCATGTTGCTCCCTTCTCTGTTCCTCTCTGCATGCCCTAGGATGAAGAGGGGGTGGGCCTGGGTCTTTCTCTGAAGGCCCAGCTGGATTGTGCACTTCCCCAGTTTCCTCCACAGCCACCAGAGCCACACTCCCACTCCCTGTCAGCTGATCGACCTCCCCCTTGGAATCAGATTCCACCAGGGGCATGACATCTCTGGAAGACTGTGTGTGCACGGATGTAGTTTGTTGTAAACATTGGTTTACAAAGGAAAATGATGGTATAAGGTAAGGCTGGCAGGTGCTCCATCCCTGGAGATTTTCAAGAAGAGATTGGACAATCATTTGGCAGGGGTGTGTCAAACTCACGGCGTCACCATGTGACATATTTGGGACTTTTACCCCCTTCGCTAAACCAGGCGTGCGTGTGGCCAGTGCATGACACATCCACACACACACACACACACACCCCGGGCCAGGAGTTTAACAGCCCTGATCTAAGGAGTCTCCTGCTTGAGTAGAGGGCTGGACTAGTAGATCTCCAAGATCCCTTCCAACTCTGTTATCCTGTTTTGACTTTGTGGCTCACCGTGTGGGCGTTCATGGTGCCGTTTGAGGTGCTGTTAGAAAACTGTGGAATTCTCAGGTGGAGGCTCTGGAGGACGTAAGTGGTCTGCATCTGTGAAGTCAAAAGGATTTGTTGCTCAGCAGCGTTCTGTACAAAACCCAGAAGGTTCAACCCTTCTTTGTCAATGGCTTAGAAGCAGCTGGACCTACTTGAGCCTGACCAACCAACTCGTGGCAACAGCAATAGCACTTAGATTTATATACCGCTTCGCAGTGCTTTACAGCCCTCTCTACGCGGTTTACAGAGTCAGCCTCTTGCCCCCAACAATCTGGGTCCTCATTTTACCCAACTTGGAAGGATGGAAGGCTGAGTCAACAAGCTGGTTCAGAATCAAACTGCTTGCAGTGGGCAGAGTTTGCAACTCAATCTGCCTGATCTTGGGTAAAAGTTGCTCTTTTTTTACAAAAAATATATATCAATATTTATATAAATATTTATAACATTTACATACAAGCCATGCCCAGCCAGTCACATGACCACCAAGCCACACCCACAATTTAAGCCACGCCCATAGAACTGGTTAGTGGTCCCTGGGATCTAAAATTATGAGTTTGGTGGTCCCTGAGGTCCAAAAGGTTGGCGACCCCTGGATTAGATCAATCACCTGGTTAACTCAGTTTTTGCAAAAAACAACAACAACAGCAGTTATGGACAGAAAATTCTCCTTTATGCCTCTGGCTTTGCTCAGGCACATTCTCAAGCTTTCTTTCTATACACGAGGACTAGAAACTTTATCTTGTTTTGAAGGTGAAGACATTCAGATCAGGCTAATATCTAATTTGCTGCACCTTCCCTACCAGTTTGCATAGGGGGCGTGCATAAGCGCACCAACGTGCCTACCGTCCCTGTCCTATTGTTTCTCTTATTCTTCTTTTATTTTTCTTATATGTACCCATTTCATGTATTCACAACTATGTATACACTTATACTTATTATCTTGTAAACAATTGGCAAATCAAATAAATAAATAAATAAATAAAATATAGGTTGTGCCAGAGGTGGTATTCAGCCGGTTCTGACCAGTTCTGGAGAACCGGTAGCAGAAATTTGGAGAAACAGCCAATCCCACCTCTGACTGGCCCCGCCAACCCCATCTCTTCTCTGCCTCCCATTGAGTCCCAGCTGATCGGCTGGGTCTCCTTTGGTCGCCCTGCCCAGGAGAACGGAGCTGGAAAGCAGGTTAGTGGGGTGGGGGAGGGAAGGGGGATTTGCAGTATCCTTCCTCTGCCACGCCCACCAAGCCACGCCCACAGAACCGGTAGTAAAAAAAAAATTGAATCCCACCACTGGTTAGATCCAATATTTATTTTGCCACCGTTGCTGCGCTGCAATAGATTATCCTCGTCAACCATTCAAAAAGCATGTCAATGCCTTCCATTGGACAAGCCGTTAGCCTGTATCCTCTAATTAAGGACCTTTCGGTAATTTATCCCTGCCATTATATTTTCACAGGAAGCCTTCTGTCCTGGAAAGCAGGTTAAATGGGATGGGGAGGGAATGGGGATTTTACAGCAACCTTCCTTCCCCCTGGAGTAGGGTCAGAATTTGAGATTTTGCGGTATCGTTTCCCCTGTCACGCCCCACCAAGCCACGCCCAACAGAACCGTGAGTAGAAACACAATGTTGAATCCCGGCCTGGAAAATAAATGCAAAGGGAACCAGGGTCCATCCTTCCTCACCTGGAAGTAGACTGTCCAGTACGGTATGAGAGCCAAAAAGACGGGGATGATTTTGGCCAAGGCTTTGACGTCTTCCACTTTGTCTTCTTGGAAAGGGCCCCCATTGGAGGCCTTGGCCGCTTCCAAAAGGCTCTCCTTGGAAGGCTGAGACGGGTGGAGGATCCCCTGGGAGCCCCTTTGAAAAGAAGAGGGGGATTTATTCTGTGGCTCCTTCACAGCTTTGCATCACCCCAAAGACTTGGAAGCTGGGCTTTTATTTTTATTTTTATTTATTTTTTTAAAGGCGGTTGTGGTGCCAGATATCCAGGGGGTCTCAAAAGGGGAAGACTCTCGACGGATTCCAAGAAAGGGTGGGAGGGGGACGGACTAAGGTTAATACTGCCTTTCGGTTAGGATGCAAATCAGAAATGGACATTCTTTCAGATGGAAGGCAGGTTTCCCCCCCCCCCCCAGGAAAATGTCAAAGGCTTGCATGAAGCGTCTGAAATGGTCTGTATAGGATGGGGTGGTGTGGGGTAGAAAGGGAGGGAGGGAGGGAGGGAGGGAGG